ATTACATGAACCACTAGCAATTTGAATTTGAACATTTAATTCTAAATCTACAGCTGGTGCAGATGTAATTTCATTTGGTGTATTAGTTGTTATTGATTGATGATCATCGAACATTGATGGATCTTGTGATGGAAAACTAGAATAATAAATTTATTATAAAACTAAATCTGAACTGAAATTTTGGAATATTTACCGAATATTAGTATTTGATGTTCGTGTTGTTCCATTTTCTATATCATCTTCATGTATTGATGATGGTCATCCCCCTTTTCCGAACTATAAACAAACAAAAAAATTAGAAAACTATTCATATAGTTATTATTGATCATTTCATATCTCTTTTCAAATTACTTCATGCTTTCTATTAATATCTGATAAGTAGAATCATATGAATTTATTTTATTGTGCTGCTTGAAACAGCAAAGCAAAGCAATATATTGTATAAAAGCATGGTTTTTTTAAAGAAATTTTGTGTGTATTTAAGGCACGAAATTAAATCTTACATTCGCCGACGGTGTGAACCTGACGACGTGGCAAGTGCGGCTGCGTATACCAGTGAATAACGCCGCGTACTATTAGCATGGATATACGAAGCAATATATGGATTTTTCTTTTTATACTTTAGGAGAAAAAAAGGTAAGTTAATCAAAAGAAAAACTTACTGAGTATGATGTAATGGTTTACTAGGATCATGTGATTGTGTTCGTTTATGACTTGGTGAATCAATACGATTTCGATCACGATTATGACCAGACTAAATAAAAAGATAATTGTATTAAATTTATCTTTGTTTTTTTTTGATATTAATAAACACGAAAATGATTCACATGAAACAATGCTATATAATTATAAATATTAAAAAACTAAAACGTATTCGATTTATATAAAAACATGCACATAAATACATAGAAAAGAATATCGAAAATAAATTAAGATTCGAATCATTGATATATTTGATCGTCGTAATAATTCATTTTGTAGTTGAATAGTAATAATATGTTTTTGTTGCTGTAGTGACTATAAAACTTAATTAACTATGCGATACTAGATTTTCATGTATACTTTCATAAGAAACTAATTACTATAAATAGTAATAAATAGCTTACTGTCTCCTTATCTATAACACATTCATCATTGCATCTTCTAACTATGCATATCTTGTTAATTCTGCTTTTAATGTTTCATAATATGTTTGAGATCGTCTACTAAATGAAAAATAAAAAAAAAAGAATACTATATTTCAAATATATTTTACTTTAATATTTTACTCTTTGTCCTACTGTTAAATGTTCATATTCTAATCGTTTTATTCTTTCATCATCATCATCATCACTTTCATCAATATTTTTTGTATTACCAGCTTGTATATTTAATAAATTTGAATTTGGTGAAGAATTATTTTCATTATTTAAATGATCAATTGGTTCAATTAAATGTGTTGATATTATTATACAAATTAATTGTGAAAAATGTTTACCAATAATTGAATCAAAATTTATATTAATAACTTTCATATTCCATTAAAGATTTAAAAACCAGTTTGGACTAGGAGAATTAAGTATGTGTAGCACGTGAATGCATTAAATATTATCTACTTGGTACACAACATACATTTAAAATAATATTTGATGGTGATAATGAACGTGTAGGGTTTCTAGTTTTTATTTGTTTGTTGAAAATTTCCTGCAGAATGAAAACAAAAACCTTCAAATGAACCTGAACTTAGTATTGTACCACATGAACATCCTGTATCGTCGTTTTATCAAGTATAGAAATAGATTGGTGAGTTATTATTACTGATGATATTAAATTATCTGTTGTTATTAATTTTGTTGATAAATCATATTGTTGAATATGTATAGCAATACCTAAATCAACAATATGTAATTAAAACATAAGATTAAGTTCTCTATTAGATGTAAGAGATGCTGGAACATCAACAATTGAACGTAAACGTGTTGAATCATTTGTTGTAATTGTAAATGCACCACGTTGTTCATTCCAATGTTTATATGTACTTTTATAATTTAATCAGAAAAGTATACCTATATGTAAAAGAAATTGAATGAAAAAAAACAAAACAAGAAGAAGTTTTATGTACCTTTATCAATAGCACCAGGTTGTCAATAGAAACTTGGTTTTGTTAAACGAATAAAATATGCTTCTTTATCTGAATCATCCGACTAAAACAGGAATTAAGTTTTTATAATTTTATATTATTCTATATTTTCACATAGTAAAGGTGTGAGTGAGGGTATTTGTCAATGTTATATCTGACTCGAAAAACGTTTTTGTTAAAAGAGAAAAGAACTTTAAACTTACTTGTAATGAATGTTGTTAAAAATAATTTTGTTTCAAAATAAACACCATCTTGAAAACTACCTGTATGTAATAATTAACCTAAACCAAATTTAATATTTATGAGAGCATTAATTAATGGTTTATTGTAGAGTAATGAAGAATTTTTTTCATCATAATTTGTTAATTTAACAGCTATTGGTGCTTTTTTATCACCATTTTCAAATTTAACTATTATATTTGATGACGTTCGTCACATAACTTCAAAACCTTTCATTGATATGTAAACAATGTTAGTGGTATTGTTTGTTGATCTTTTTTCGGTTCGACATCATCATCTACATTTTTTATATCTGTTGAACCAGTACGTATAACAAGTACTATTGCTGATGATGATAATAAACGTGTATGTTTTGTTGTTGCTCCAAAATGAAATTGATCAAATCGAGAAACTTTTCCAAGAATTTTCTTTATTTCACGTATAATTACTTTTGAAACAAAAACTAATTGTGGCAAAAAAATCAGCTGTTATAGTTAATTTAAGTACATCATTTTTTGTATGAAGATTGAAATGATCTTTTGTTTTATTTTTTTATTCTTGTTCAATAGAATAATTTCCATAACAACGTATTACAGGAAAATCAATTCGTAGATGATTATCTGAACTAACTGTTGGAGGTTGTTGATGATCATAATTATTATTATTTAACAAATGTAAAGCATGTTCATGTATAATAGCTGTAAAACGTGATTTCATTCCACTAATGTTAGTAACGCCTATTTTATATTGAATTTTTAATGTTGAAAGAAGTGTTGGAGAAAATATCATTTTCTGACAATGTGCTGTTGTATGAACTCCAAAAAATAGGTCGTTTCGATGATGTAAATATATTTTGTTGAATTTCTAATAGACGTGGATTAATATTACGATTAATTAGATCTTTATGACGTGTACCTAAACGTTTTTAGTTGTTGTTTGTTCTAATGGGATTGGTGTATGAGGCTCTTCAATAGTATCATCTGAACTTGTATTAATTAATTCATTATCTGCATTAGTTGTTGTTGGTATTGGCGATGTTTGTTGTGTATCATCGGGAAAAAATTCTTGAAAATAGGATGTTATTAAACGACCAGTACGATTAACAAGATCATGAACTTCTTGTGGTTTTAATGGTGCATCCATTGTAGTTGTACCCATATTTGTTACAACACTTAATATTAAATTAATGTCACGTGTTTGAAGTGATGTTAATGCTTGAGATTTACCAACAATTATATCAAGAGCAGATATTTACCGATTAGACGATGATGGATGAATTATTGAAATATTTGTCGATGGAAAATTATCGGTATGCGTAGAAAAAGTTTTTTTAAAGAAAGAGATGTTGAACCAATTTGAAGAATTAATAAACCATCATATCTAAATATTAGATTTAATTCAAAATAATATAATATTTGGTTGAAGATTCATATTAATTAGAGTATTACGATTAAATTGTTCAAGAAGTTTAGTAATAAATTGACTAAAAGGATGTGAAAGAAGATATTTTGTTTTTGTAGTAAATAATTCATAGAGTTTACTTTGTGAGGGTGGGTTTATGAGTATTATTACGAAGTTTTAATAAATCAAAATGTACTAAATAATTCAAATTTGAACTTTTCTTTTTTGCTTAGAAATGATAAAATTGAAATGTTTTCTAAGTATTACATATATGTATTATTAATGATAATTGTAAGTCTATTCATTGATAGATTTATTTAAAAGTGTATTCATATGATTGATGATGAAATTGATTTATGTTTAATAGAAAAATAAAATTTAAGATTTTTACCGAAAAAATTTCTCAGTTTTAATTGTTAAGAAATCTACAAATGTTTTTCTACTACGACAACTAATATATATGAAATAGATTTAATGAATAAGAAAAAACAAATAAGAAGTTTAGAAATGAATAAATTATAAATACTTGAATAAATAAGATAATTGCGAATATATTTTAATTTTGAGCATCTAAAACATGTAATCGAGTATTATTAATGAATGAATGTATTCTGAGTTGTTCTAACATTTCATGAGAAATACTTTCTTCTGGTTTCTTTCTAATAGCTACTATTTGATAAGATTCATATGATTGTATACGACGCATTTGTGTAATAAGATTTAAGCATGTGTAGATATAGAGGATGAAGAAGGCAATAATAATATTTGTAAAGCATAGATATCATTTGGTGATATTTTATTTTTTTGATTAGATAATTTCTGAATAAATAATGTAAATAAATTCTAATTAACATCTCATATTTGAGTAATAGAAAAAAGAGTTGAAGTATTATTTTGATTCGAACGAAGTTGACAAATCATATTTTCTAAACCAGTATATGTTGATGTATTTTATAATTGAACTTCATTTTCATTAATTAAATCAAAATCGGAATCATATTCTTTTATAGCTGATGATGTTGTTTGTTCTTTTTCATTGAGTTTATTATAAATAATTGTTGCAATTGTTTCAATTGAAAGTCCTTGAAGAAGATCAACTAATGGTATATAAATGCCAGTTTCTAGACCTAACCAATTATATAATGAAACAGGAGCTAATGAATCCATACCTTGACTAACAAGTGAACGATCAACACTAGCTGCACCTAATAATCGTGCAACAGCTGATTGAGTTCGTTCAATAATAGTTTCTTTTTTATTCATACTAGACTTAGTGGAATTGTTTTTTCCTGACGATGAGATGTGATCAAATTTCATCTCTTTATAACGTTGATGAACTACTTTTCTTAAATAAGATGTAGCTAATGTTGGATAATTTCGATGTAATATTTGCCAATTAACAGCAAAAATAACAGGACATGGACAAATCCTTTGAGTTTGATGAAAACATTTAATTATTTCGAATATAGTTACTGTTGGCATTAATTCAAAACCTTGTGTAACTTTTAAAGTACTGAGCATTTCTTTATGACGATGAAACATTCCAGCACCACTTACAGCTGGTAAACTAATTGAGAGTGCTCTTAAATTAAGTTTTTCAAAACGATAATGAGCAAGTGCATCAAGAAATTGATTACCGGCATTATAACCAGCAGATGCAACTTCAAGTAAATGATTTCGAATTGATGAAAACATAATAAAGAAATGAATAGGTGCATGAAGAAGTTGTGTAGCCTGATGAAGATACCAAGCAGCACGAAATTTTGTTGATAAAACAAGTGATAAATGTTCTTGTGTTAAATTACCTAAAGTACGATCTTCTGCAACAACAGCACTATGAATAATACCACAAATAGGATAAGAAGTTTTTTGAAATCTTTCAATTAAATCATGAACTTGTTGAAAATTTGTTACATCTGCTTGAACAACATCAACATGAGCATTATATTGTTTTGCTGTTCGTTTTAATTTTAACCAATCATCATATTGTGGATTTGAAGGTTGTTCAAGTTGAACTAATGTTCGACGACTCATAAGTGCTATATGTTTGACACCTCGTTTTTCAATCATCCACCGAGACATTGTTAAACCAAGACCACCAGATATTTAAATTGTTCCTTGATTACAAACTTCTGATGAAAACATTGTATTGTCACTTACAACTATTGAGTAAGAAAAAATGAAAAAAATAAAAATTGAAAAAAAAGAAAGATATGATTACCTTTTAATAAACTAGTAGATTGTTTTTTATTAATAGTTAATGGTTGATCAGATGAAGTTATACGAAAAACAGTTTTACCCATAACTTGACCACTATTACATCTTAATAATGCTTCTATTACTTGAGATGGTTCATAAGTAACTGTTGGTTCAACAGCACGCAATTTATGTTGTATAAATAAATCAATTGCTTCTTCTAGCATAACACGAATAAGAGGTGATACATGATCAGCAAGTCCAGCGAAGTCAGTCACATGAAAACTACAATCTGTTCGTAATTGAAACATTGATAAATTACCATTATGATAAATATCTCGTTTACCCCATTCAACAAAATGACCATGATATGCTAATAATTTAATTGATTCTTTTAATAAATTACATGATAATGAATTAACAATAACATCAACACCTTGTGGGAGAATTCGATGTATATCATTAACAAAAGAAGCATCTCGACTATTAAATACATGTTCAATACCATAATGTTCACGAAGAAAACGTCGTTTTTCTTCAGTTCCAGCTGTAGCAATAATACGAGCACCACTATATTGACAATATTGAATACACATTTGACTTGCAGCACCTGTTGCAGCATGAATAAGAACAGTTTGACCAGCTTGCAAATGAATACGATATTTAAGAGAATATATAACTGTTAAAAGTGGAGTTGGCATACCACATAATTGTTCATCAGTAAGAGGACATTCAGATGGAATACGTATTATAAGTTGTGAATTAATCATAATATGGAAATGATATGTACCAAGACTAGTATTACCTACAACATGATCACCAACCTGATAATTAGTTGTAGGACATGCACGTGCAATGGTACCAACAAAATCTGAGCCTGGTTCTGTATCTTGATTAACTCTTGGTAGATTTTCATCAGATTGTGCAAATGTACATGTATATAGATAAAGATCATGTGATTTGAGTACATCACGAAAATTATTACCAACACAATGAACACGAACGTCTAAGATATCTGATGGTAATAATTCTTTTTCTCTATCTTCTTCAATCCATGTTAATTCAGAAAGAAAACGAGATTGTGGTACACAAAGACGAAATGGTTTTTGATCAGTATCTCGTTTAGGAATAATAGAAATTTGTTCTAATTTAGATTTCTCTTGTTCGTCATCAGCAGATTTTTGTAACATTTCATAATGCCATGTTAAATGTTGAATTTGATTTTGATTTGTATTATTAAGACAAAGAACAACTTCACAAGTATCAGTTGAATATCTTGAATTAATCATATATTCTATTAAAGTATAAATAAATATTAATTTATTATGTAATGATGTTTGAAGATCAATAAGTTTTCATCGATGTCGTTCATATTCAGTTATTAAACTTCGTGCAAGCCGAATAAATGGTGATGCAATTATATTAAGATTTGAATTATTATTAAATTGAGCATGATCTGTAAGAACATATACGAATGGATAAAAATATGGTGATGATTTTTGAATTGTTTGAAGAATAAGTGATAATGTTCCACATATAAGTTCTTCATTTTGTTTAAATGCTAAATCATCATTATTTTCATTAAGTGCTACTTGATCAAGTTGCCATGCAAAAATAATAGATACTTGTTGATAAGTAGTTAATAGAACTGGTGTTACAGAACAAATCATATCTAAAGTTGAATTACGAATATCAAAAATTCGAATATTTGAACATGGTAATAATGTTGATAGAATATGACTGAAACTATTTTTATTATTTTGATCATCTTTGGTAAATATTAACCATGATTGATTTTTTCTTTCATCAAGCGTCTGTAATATTTCCTTAGATATTGTTTTTTGACTAATAATTAATGTACTTTCATTTTGATTTGTTGTTGATTCAATAATATTAAATCCATCGATTTGTTTTAACAATATCATTCATTGTTGAATATTATTTAATGCACGATTATTATCATCAGATGACCACCATTGATCATTAAAACCAAAAATAAGATCAAAATAAAGAGGAATATGAACTAGTTCAAGTAATAAAAGAAGACCATTAGGAACAAGTAAACGACGAAGAGAAATTAAAGAATTTGTTAAATCCTGATTTCCTAGAAGTTGATTTGCAGAAAATATAAGATCAAATGATTCGAATGGTATTTGTTCAAGTGTTTTACTATCATATAAATCAATTGTTTCACCTTATATAATAGATAAATTTTTTGTTTGATTATTTATATGTGTATTAAATGTTTGTTAAGTATTTGCAAGTTGTGTTGGATCAGAATCTGCATAATGTAAATCAATTAATAAACCTGTTTGTTGTGATAAATTGAGGAGAAGATCAAGCGTAGGTAAAGCATCTGAACAACCACGATCAGTTAACCAAAATATACGTAGCCGATAATTCTGAAATGAATTATCTTTAGTTTGTTGTTGTTCATATTGTAATTGTAAATATTGACAAATCGAATAAAAAATTTATTCAATTTCATCATCATCAAGAAATATATCTAATCCATTTTTTTTCTCCATTAAGAATATCTTTTAAATGTAAACCATATTTATTTAATATGATTAAAAGTAGTTTTAAACGAGGAAAACGTTCAATTAATTGAGTAAGACGAAGATGTGTTGAATGCCATGTTACTTCGTTATGTAAAGTTGAAGCAAGAGAACGACATGCATTTAATAATGGATGATGTTGTTGATTTAAATCAAGATCTTTAATTACCATTTGAGAATAATAAGCAGCTAATTCATTAAATGGTTCTATTGATTAAATTGAATCTTGATTACTAATAGAATTAAGTTCATTATTAAGAATTTGATTAGGTGATGGAAGTAAATGTGATATATGTTTTATTATTGGTGAATCAGTCCATACTCTTTTCATACAATAATCTTTTATAATTGTATCTAAATATGTTTTATAATCAGTATTAGGTAAATCAGTTGTTAGATTTAATTTGTCATAAACTGTTTTTTCCATTGACCATCGACCAGACTGTACACCTTGAACTTGTTGAATAACAATACTTTCAAATGTAAATACTGGTTCTTCTATTTTATTATTCATTGGAAATATCCATAGATCAAGACTATATGTTCCTTCTTGACCTATACCACATATATTATCATGATACTTTTCACGTACTTCGATATTTGTTGATTGATTCATTTTTGCTTTTATCTTATTTGAATAAATAGATTTTAGAATACGTACAGGAAGAAATGTTGTTTCAACACCTGGTAATAGAACTAGATATGGATGAAATAAATAATAAGATGAACAATTATTATTATCATTTGATAATTGAGATATAATTGTAGTTGAAGTACCATGTAATGTTTTGAATTTTTGAAAACTAGATCCATATTGATAACCACGTGTTTAAAGATGTACATAAGCACTTGGTATATGTTGTGTTGTCCATATATTAGGTATCGTTAATGATTTTTGTTATTTAGAATCTATTTCAATTTTACCTTGTGCATGTAAAGTAAATTCATTTAATGAATATTTATTACGATTATCTTGATTACAAAATATAATATACCATTCACGCATTGGCATAATTATTTGTGTAAATACTTCCATCAATTCATGTTCATTAAGAATAAGTGCTTTAATAAAGTTTACGTCTTCAAAAATAAGTGTTAGTTGTTGTTGATCATCCTCTTTTGGGGGAAGTAATTGATGACAAGCAGTTGTTACGAGTTCAAGATAAGCAGCAGCCGGGAAAAGAATTGCATCTTGAATTTTATGATCTTTTAAGAAAGCATGTTGTGGTACATTAATATTAATGAGACTTTTTCATTGTTGCACTTGTTTGTTCATTTAATTGACGAATACCAAATAATGGGTGAGTAGATATACGATTAGTTAAACGTTGTATAGATGAACCTTTTGATTCACACCAACATGAACTCAAATGAAATTTATATAATGGAAAATTATCAAAATATTCTTCATGATTTTTCAACGATAAAATTTAACGAGTATGAAAATATTGTTGCCATACTTGAGATGATGCTGCAAGTTGTGCTAGACTAGTAAGTAATGTTATTTGTTCATTTTCTTTTCTTTTTAATGTTGGAAGAATAAGTGATGATTGCTGTTGATTTGTTAATTCACAACATTCATGAATAGATGTACCTAAAATTGGATGTGATGAAATTTCAAGAAAAACATTTGCTGCTTCATCTTTTATAATTAATATTATAGCATCATAAAATCGAACAGTTTGTCTTACATTTGACTATCAACTGGCATATTATCATCAGTAACACTTGAATAAAGTTTTGCTTGTGCACATATCAGATTAAATATTTGTTTTTGATCTTTTATTGAATATCCACGAATATTTTTTTTAATGATAATAACATATCTTTTTCAATATCAAATCGATTCATTTGATATGAATGAAATACATTTTCAATACAAAGATGTGCTTTGAATACATTTGGATAAGATATGGTAAGAACTTGTTGTATTTCGTCAATAATGTTTTCATCACCACTTATTGTTGCTCGACGACGACTATTAACAACAGCAATACAAGCCAAATGTTCAATACCTTTCGAAAGTTTGTTTTCTACTTCTTCTTCGCTCATTGAAACAGCTAACATACGAACAGCTTCTTCTAAATTTAAACAACCAGCAACAAAAGCAGCTGCTTGATCACCACCACTATGTGGTATAATAGATGATGGATAAATATTCCATGAAACAAGTAAAGCTGCTAATGCAACTTGTATAGCAAATAAAGTTGGTTGAGCAATATTTGTATCATTAATACGAGATTCTTGTTTATTTATCTTTTTAATTAATTCTTCTAATAATCTCCATTCACCATTGTTAATTTTTGTCATTTCTCCATCAATTAAACTAATCCATTTATTAAATAATGGTTCACTTTCATATAATTGTCTACCCATAACCCACCATTGTGGACCTTGTCCACTAAAAACGAAACATATTTTCTGTGCGAATCGTTTTGTTAGACGTGATGATTGTGAGATCTGGTAATGCTTTTTTAGTAAGAAAAGCATTGATTTGTTCTTGTAATTATTGGCGATTAAGACAAATAAAGATTGCTAAATGTTGATAACTAATTGTTCTTTTAAGAAGAAGTTTTTGTGATATACGTTGAAGAAAAACTTGATCATCATCATCTATATCATTAACTGATGATTAAAAGATTGACAACTTTTTGCTAAATGAGAAGAAATAAATTATTTAATGAATAAAAAGAAAAAAGAACTTACTTGAAAAAATAAAAATAAAATATTATCTGCTTTTAATATGATTTTCATCGATATAACCATTTTCAATTGATGTTTTATTTGACTGATATTCTTCAATGATAGAATGTGTCGTTGAACCAACCGTTTCGAATAAATTAACACCAATAGCTGTTTTTTCATTATTTGAAACGGACGGAAAAGGTAGAAAATTTTGAAGAATATGTAGATTATATTTTTGTGCTTCTATTTTAGGATTAAGTGAAGTAAATTGTATATTTGTTGTAATACCACGATGATACATACACATAGCAACTTTAATAAGTGATATAACACCAGCTGCACCTTCTGTATGTCCTAAATTACTTTTAATTAAATCTAATAATAATGGTGGATCAAGATTTGATCGATTAAAAAATCGATCTAAACAATTAGCTTCAATTGGATCGCCATCACGTTCAGCATCACTTAATTGTTTTAATAATTAAAGACCAAGACCATCATCTAGACACAATATTTAAATTGAAATGTATTTCTAGATAAAAAAAACTAATCAACTGAATTTACCTTTAGCATAACTATTAGCATCAACACTAAATGATCGACTTCTTCCACCAGGTGATTGTGCACCAATAAATGAATGTTGTAGAAAACTTTCTGGTGTAAGAATCCATTAACACCACCACATACAGCCGTGTCAGCTTCATTTGTACGGAGACATTGCACAGCCATATGTAAAGTTTCTCAAGAAGATGAACAAGCAACATCTAATGATACATTTGGATCATGTAAATTAAAATGATATAATAAACTAGTAGGTCCATAAAATCTTGATTCGATGTTCAGGTCTCACACGAGCTGCTGCAATTACATGATCTGTTGAAAATTATCCAGTATGCACTGATGTTTTTGTACCCGACATTTTTTCAATACTGTATCCATCACCATCAAGTAAATCAACAAATTTTAATATAGGTGATCTATGACATGGATCAATATTGGCTGGTTCAGCATCTGACAAAACCAAAAAAATGTGGTTTAGATTTATCTCATTGCTGATTTGACATAAAATAACCAGCACGAAGAAGTTTTTGGTGAAGTTGTCCATTATTGTCCATATTAAGCATATGACCAATAAATGATTCAAGATCAAATCGATCAATTGTTATTGCACTACCAGCATCTTGACTTTCTTTTAATGTATACCATAAATCATTTGCATAATAAATATCACCTGCGAATTCACATGCTATACCTATAACAGCTATTGGTTCTAATGATGTACTATTATTATTTATAGTTGCCATTAGTATTCTTGATTAAATATTTTTTTCTGAATTAAAAGAATAGTTTGATATCTAAAATAAATATTATTATATAAAATAAAATCTAACATTAATTTAATTTTTAATTGAACATAGTGTTAGATCTATACAAATATCACTATAATTTAATGAGATTATGAATTTTGTTTTCTTTTTTATTAGAAAATATTAGAATTATTTTTGTTATTTGATAAATCAAATATAATTTATAACTCTCTTCACATTGAACTTCTATTGTGTTTTGTAAATTAGAAAAATCTATAGATGAATTTCTAATGTGATTAATATTTTTCATGCTATAGTTAATGTTTGATTAGTAGTGTACATGCACAAAAAGTCTTTAAAAATTTATAAGTTTCGTAGATTTGTGAAATTGTCGGATAGCTAGCTATAGAAGTACCTACGAGAGTAATCTAGAATATGAAATTGGTTGTAAGTTTTTAGATGATTATAATGTTGTTAAGTTTAATAAAAATTTCTATGATTTTTTTTGTAAACTATATATGATTTGTTAGAAGTAAAAAGTAAAACAAACGTAATAGAGCTGAATTGCTACATATATGTAATTTCTACTCTCAAAAATTATTTTATATTAACAATGCCTATTAATAGCAAATATATATGCAACATAAAGTAAATTGATACATAAACTAAGCTTTAATTAGATAATAAGAACTAAGGAATTAACTTATTTATTTAGCTAGCTGTTGAAATTATCTATTTTGTCTTAATTTTGAATAAGATGGTCTTCTATTCTATGAAGAAGTTTATATATATATAACGAGTACACCATAATAAATGAGATACAAAAGTGAGCCATTTATTATGAGACATCCATTATATATACATATAGGCATACGAGCGCTTGAATATATACGATTTTTTAAAAGCAACTTTTTAGTCGCGGTCAAGGCCACTTGTGCTCTATATATTTTATCAAAAAAGGACCATGACTATAATATCATATCGAGTCATAATTTTTTATTGACATATTTTTCAGGTAGTTTAATTCAAAGATTATTTTATATAAAAACATTAATATATATTTTCTATATAATTTCTTAAAATTTTAATCTCACTTTTTTTTAAATTAAAGCTCATTACATTAAATATGGATATACTGCTCAAGTTTAATCAACTCTTTTAATGTTTTTCTCGCAATAATTTTAATTGCAGTTTTATGAAAAATTTATCTCCTTAATCTTAATAAAAGTAAAATATTTATTTTTATTTCTTTCACAATAATTTCATAAAATTCTACAAAATCTTAATCATATTAAAATATTTAAGAAAAGAAATTTTTTTAAAACTAATTATTACAATAATTTACTGATGACCACCGACAAGTTTTCATTGATTCATAGAATACTGCAATCTGATTGGCATGGACAAACAAACGGACAAACTTTAAGCATTTTAACGACCCTGTTTAACGAGCTTATAAGCCTTTCTTTCTGAAAAGAGAACAACTTACGAACTCTACATCTTTCAAAAAGTATATTCAATTTTTATCGAATACAACTTAAGAACTTCACAGCTTTGAAAAGTTTAAAATAATAATAACAACTGAATTGTTTTTTGAAAATTTTTTAAAATCATATGATCATAGAATCATTTTAAAATTAAGTTTAATTTTGCCTAAACCTTAATTCTGTCTAACACACAAGTAACGCTCGTCTAAGGACTCGCTCAGCTCTTTCTCGTAGAAATCGTGTTCTACAATGCTACTGAGCATTTTGCTTATACAATTTCAAAAAACTAGCATGAGATTCAAGATCTCCGCATCGAAATACCTCTAAAAATGTCTTTTTGAAAAATTGTTTTTCGATGATTTTTTGATTCTGTGGACACACAAGCAAGCAAACAAACAATTTATGTTTACTGGACTCTTCTCTACGAGAAAGAGAATATACACATGAATAGCTTAAACATCAAAGTAACTATTCCAAATTAATATATTTTATTCTAGGATTTATTTGAACGAAATTTCAAATAAAAATTTATGATTTTATAAGAGTTATCTACTGAAATCGTACTATTAAAATAAAAGTGTATTAGATAATAGGTTGCCCTTAGATAAATTTCTACTAAAAGGTCACAATAAATATGTTTTGATAAAAGTAATTATCTTTTGTCTTACCTCTATATGATGAAACCTTCAATGATTATAATCGGATATTCGATCGAATAGTATTATACTCCTACTCTTATGAGAGATATATTATATATATATATATGATTTTATGTGTAGGTGCACATAATAAGATAAAAATTAGTTGTATTGTATCGTATCCCCCTCCTCCAACAACAAATATAAAATCAGTGTTAAATATCGAAGCAATAGTATATTTTAGCTTATAATAATCATATCAATGATTCTTAAACACCTACATAAATAAAAGCTATCATCTCACCTGTAAGAACAGCAAGAAAAAAAATATGTATGACTGATTTCATGTACGAATACAAAAGATAGTTAATATGGATTATTTTCTGTTTTTATTACTTCACAAGTCCAAGGTCTATGTTAAATATCAAAGTTATTGTGTATTTTGCTTGTTTAGAATAATATCTTCAACAATTATAAATGACTGATCATTTAAAAGCAATTAAACTGCGCGTGTATGTAAAAAAGAAAAATATATATCAAAGATTATTTTATGTAGAAAAGATAAAAAATAAGATAAACGTTAATTATTATATGACCGATCTCTGAATAAAGTACAAAGTCTAGTAAAATAATTCGAAACTATCCCATTTTTTATGAATATATACCATATTTAGATTATAGAGGAACTTAAAATCTAGGATAATTTCAGATTCTCCATAGGGGAAATTAAAATTATTTTATTACCTATCACGGTTTATTACAAAACCTCAAAATATAAACCGCCATTACATTCAGAATGAGTACAACCATCTTTTTCTTTTCTCATCGATCGACATTGATTTTGCTACCGTTAGTGGTTTGCAATATTTTCTAACAAATGATTACTCTAGCAAATCAATGGTAGATGTTATCAGCTAGTTTTCAAATGACAACTATATATATATATGAACGCTTGAGAATAAAATCTACGATACTAGTTAAATAACATAATAAGAAAAAAAAATATCTTAATACGAAGGAGAGAAAAAAAAGATATATATGCATGTCGTATTTATCATCTGTACGAAATAATAGAAGGCAAGAAAAAAAAAGTGAATCAGATTTTACCATATTTCAATTTTTATACTAACCTTTTAATTTAATTTAGCGATTTTTAAATATATTGATAGACCTAATTATTTTTCTAATCATTTATTTATTCTACTAACCATTTAAATGGTAGATATTTTTAATTATTCGAGGCTTTAAGTTTCTCTTTAACCGATACATAATATGTTAATAAAAGATGAAATAAATTCAACTTATTAGTTTTGCAAATAAATATATTTAATTCTAGGATTTATTTGAATGAAAATTCATGATTTCATAAGAGTTATCTACTGAAATCGTAATATTAAAATAAAATTGCATCAGATAATAGGTTGTCCATAGATAAATTTACAATTAGAGGTCAAAAAGTTGTTATGATAAACAAATATATTTCGATAAAAGTAATTGTCTTTTGTTCTCTCTTTATATGATGAAACCTTCAATAATTATAATCGAGTATTCGATCGAATAGTATTATACTCCTACTCTTATGAGAGAGATATTTTATCTATATGATTTAATGTGTAGGTGCACATAATAAGATAAAAGTCAGTTGTATTGTATTCTCCACCTCCAACAATAAATATAAAATCAATGTTACATATCGAAGTAATGATATATTGTAGCTTATAATAATCGTATTAATGCTTCTTAAACACATGTATGAATAAAGCTTGTTATCTCACCTGCAAGAACAGCAAGAAAAAAAAAATAGGTATGACTGATTTCATGTACGAATACAAAAGATAGTTAGTATCGATTATTTTGTATTTTTGTTGCCTCACAAGTCCAAGGTTTATATCAAATATTAAAGTAATTGTATATTTTGCTTATTTAGAATAATATTTTCAACAATTATAAATGACTGATCATTTAAAAGTAATTAAGTGGCGAGTGTATGTAAAAAAGATAAAAAAAATAAGATAAACGTTAATTATTATATGATCGATCTCTGAATAAAGTACAAAATCTAGTAAAATAGTTTGAAATAATCCTATTTTTTATGAATATATATCATATACAGATTATAGAGGAACCTAAAATCTAGGGGAAAGTAAAATGATTTTATTTTTTTCTAAAAAACTATGGAAAGATTTAGTTCCTGACTGCTACTAATAAAATATTTTAATCATCAAAATACAATTTACGACACAGAAGCAAATTTGTGAAAAAGTCTGACTAAAACTGTTAGAGAAATGCTTCCATATAAGTTTTTGAAAAAAATACTCATTCACCTTTTATCTTGAAATAAACAATAGCATCTATTAACTTAACAAGAATAATTTTCAACCTTTCATCTCTCTCATGTATTCTGTTTATTGCTTGTCTCTCTAATCAATAACTACAAAAATTTGAAGCAATAAATTCTGAAATTTTTATTTGTAAGATCAACGATCATGTACAATTGTATATGTAAAAAAAAAAGGTTCTGTATGTTAGTAGAAAGTGTTTATTAATTAGTAGAATGTGATAATATCGTGAAGCGATATTTAAACGAAAATTAACGCATAAAATGAAAAGTCTATCGATGAGGTGGTGGTGCTGCAGCTGGAACAACACCAGGTGGAGCATGAGCATGAGCATGACCATGTTCAAAATGAAAATTCTTTTCTCCATGTACACCTGCCATATGTTCTCGAAATCTAAATAAAAAGTTAATTGATTTCAATTCAAATAAAAAGAAAAAGAAAAGTTCATACTTATCAAAACAAACTTGTGACATATCACGTACAGATGAACCAACATGAACCATTTTATAAGGAGACTAGAATGAAAATAATAATAACAAAAAAAACGATGCGAATATTACAAATAAATTTAGCTTACAAGAAAGATAAGAATATGAACGAGAATAAAATAAATGACAAAAAATGTTCGACTTTGATGTGATGAGAGAATAAATTTACCAAAGTTTAAAGCAAATTTTTCATGAATTTTAAGTGATTCATATTTCTTTTGTTTTTCCTTCAAAATAAAATCAAATATAAATCTATATATAAACATTAAATTATCCAATACTTGTTTCGTAAAATTAGTAAATGGATCCAATGATGCATCATAACCACGTGAATACTGATCAATAGGATCATCTGTTCCGCGGGTTGTCTATAAAAATACAATACAATTATATTATTCTAAGAGGAATCTCTTAACTATCATATTAATAGTGTTTCTGATTTTCAATCATCTTATCATTTAGAAAGATTCTCTCTAACACTATTCATTAGTATGTTATACAGGGACGTCCGCAGAGGTGGGATCGATCCCCCCTTCCCGCAAAAAACTGAAATACCTGGAGGGGAGTACAAGTCGAACAATTTTCAGAGATTTGAAATAACCTTTTCCTACGATGGACTTTTCTGCGGACGTGTCTGATGTTATGTCATTTAATTAAAATAAGATTTCAATCAATTTTAGTGGATAAAAGTTTTTTTTACTGAATACATACAGGATAATTCTGAACGAATTTAATTTTTTCATATAGTTTTATATTGTCCGATCGAAGTTTATCCATTTCATTTTGAAATATATTCGTTTGTTGTTTCAATGAAACATTTTCCTAAATACAAAAAAAAAGATTTGTCTTATAGGAAAAAATCGATTTATTTGAATTACGTTCTCTAATTCAACATTACGAATACGAAATCGTTCACTTTGACTAATAACAATAGCAGTTAATGCTTCATGCGATGTTGTATCACGTGACGAAACATGTGAAAATGAATTCTTAAATGATGCTGGAGATGTCGATGATTGATTTAATACATCTTCAATTATTATAGTTTCATTTGAATTACTATCACTTGTTTGTCCCTAAATAAAAAACAAATAAAATACATCGAAATTTATAAAAAGAAAAAAAACAATCCACTTCAGGTCCTCGTCGAAATAATTCAGTAACACCACCAGCACTTAATAAATCTTTTTCAAGTTGAATATTCAATTGTTTTAATTCATTATTTGCATTTTCAAAATCTCGACAACGTTTATCAAGTTCATGAAATCGTTCTAAATAAATGAAAAAAAATTCATTTTATTTTCCACACATACGAAAAAAAATTTGAGGGTAAAAAAAAAGAAAATCTTATTATCACCATATACGATATTCTTCTTTCTTTCTTTTCTCTCTCTGCCCTTGAACCTGAAATAAATAAATTCAAAGCATATTCAATATTATACAAAAAAGACAAATAGAAAAATTTTATTAATATTTGAATAAAAAAAGAAATCATAATTCACACATATTAAACTTCTTTTTCGCAAAAATTTTTTTTGTTAAATACAAGAAAAATGGTAGAATGTTAGTAAATCATTTGATATTTAGTATTCTTTCTCATTTATTGCACGCGCACACAACATCGAAATATAAACAAAAATTATAATCTGTTCAAATAAAAAACAAAAAAAGAAAAAGAACTGAAGAAAAGAAAACGAAACAACCATATATCACGCCATTCTCTTTGTTTGTATTTTTTTTAATGCACTTGTTAAAGCAGCTGGGTTTGTTCACGACTAGTTTTAATACTTGAGCGATACTCACAAATATATATGTAATAGAACAAAGCGAACAATAACAACAACAAAAAATGTTGAGCATTAAAAAGAAAAAAGAAAAAGAAAATTACAAAATCACCAATTGGTTTTTTTTCTAATATCACCTTGGCTAAATAAAAATACATTTTTTTTGTTAAGTATTAGTATCAACAGAATTTGTTGATTCATTCGTTGTTTGATTTGATAGTATTGTGTCATTATAATTATCATTCTCAGTTATTGATTCATTATGTAGTTTTTTCGTAGTAATAATTTTTTGTGGAATAGATTTTCGTTTTTTACTACTTGAACTAAATGTAGATATCGAAAGAGTAGGCTTTTGTTCGTCGATTAAAGACATAATATTTGTTGATGATGTTGCTAAACTAATTGGGACTAATCGAACTATCTGAATCATTTGTCGTATTAGACTATGAATTATTTAAGGGTACAATTGTTGGTAAAGTATTATCTTCATCATCATCATCATCGTTCTCATCCTCATCATTATCATCATCATCGTCATCATTATTATCAGTTAAAGGCGTCGAAGATATTTTATTTGTATCTTTCGTATACGTATTAGGTTTAGTTCTCATTCGGGCATTATGAAACCAATTCGATATTTTGTTCATTGGCAAGGATAATTCATCAACGAGTTGTTCTAATTTTGCTTGACTTGGATAAGGTTCACTTTCGAATATTTGTTTTAATCTACGACGTTGATCTTCTGTAAATATATATTGACGTTTTAAAGTAGGATTATTGTTACTTTCTGTATCATGATTCTGCGATTTTGATATATAAATAGTAAAGTAAACAACTATATTCTTTTCATATTCAAAATTTTACTAATATTAGATTATTTCCAAAAATACATTCGACATGTCACAAATAAATCTTTCATTAAAATACTATCTAATAATCTTTGTTTGTATATACCAAGAAAAGGTGGAGTGTGACTGTGAATGTAAGTTTAATGTGGCTTTTATTCAATGTTGATAGTTATACTCTTAAAGTCACCCACACCCATCTTTGAGTACTTCGAATATTTTTGATAGTTTAATATAAAATTGAGAAAATAATTCACATAATGAAAAATAATAAAGATTAAGATTATTTCGAGTTACGAAGAGAATTTGATAATGAATTAGTATAGATTTATTAAAGAAAATACTCAATGAATATAAGAAGATGTCATTCAATAAAGTTCGTTCGGATAAATATTAATTGAAGGTTGAGATAAGAAATGTGAATAAAATTCAAAATTATCTTTTAATTAGAGAAATTTTTAATCAAACATGTGATTAGAAAATCGAATCTGAATTCATTTCTATTAATAGTTGAATTTCATATATAAAATGTTTTTCAATCCAATCTTCTTAAAATTGAATATTTATATTTTTTAAATGAGAATAATTAAACAAATATTTTCTATTAAAAATATTCAAATATAAAGTAAAATATTAAACAAAAAGAATTCTTTTCTTTTGAAATATTAAAATAACTACTGAAGAAATAAAAATAAATTTAAAATAATCAAATTCTTCTTTACCTTATTTTATATTAGTATCCATTTGAAATGAAACGTTTTTTTTTATAATAATGAAGCTAATTTTCCCTTTAGCTATTCGAATATCAGAATATAAATGTTTCATTTTCTACATTTGTCAATCAAATTCTTAAGATAATATTAGAAGACGATTCGATACGTAAAAGTCGTTTTATTTAGATATTTGAAAATATTCTAAGAGACACGTTTTTTTCCACGTGGTTGCGTTTTGTTATTCTGTTCGTAACGAGAAAAAAATATTTCTAACGCTTATAATTATCGTTTTTTCTTGTTCTGTCAAACAACCATATATAAGGCCGCTCTTCCTTACGTTTATATTTTAATATCATCGTTGATCGGTCTTACTAAAAATGACATGTGGTTAAGAGAACCAACACTAATAGATAAGTCATGAAAAGAAAAGAGAAAAAGAATGTTATCCTATCGATTTTATTTATGAAAGAAAAATGAAGTCAATTTTGAAATACAATCAAAATCTTTGTTCATTTATTTTTCAATATAGAATTAATTATCTTAGATTTTTTAACTATTTCGATTTCTAATGATTTGTCCAGCGACACCGCTTTTCTTTATGATTAAGCTCATCTGCAATTCAGCGATCTATTACAAATGGTCTGTAATCCTATAACTTCATTTAAAATTTCTTTAACTTCGAGAAAGAGGAAATAATAAGTGTGAGTTATTTATTGAGTTAAAACTGATTTAATCAATGATATAGTCAAGCAATCTTTGCATTATGTTCTAATAACTGTTAAATAATCATCAAAATAAAAAGAGTTAATGATGCTTATTTATTTCAAATTTTTATTTTGAACGGTACCAACTTACGTTTGTTCATCTAACTTCTATGATAAAAAACGACGAGTATGAGTAAACATAAATGTAAATATAATGGATTTGTAAGGATTTATTCTAGTATCAGATCCATCTTTTTCGTTCCAAGCGCATTATTTGTAGAATATCTTTTTCTCTTTCGAAATAAAATCAATATTGATTTTATCCGCACACATATGTCCACATTTTCATATTGTACAGAAATCAAAGATAAAGAAACGATTATTTATTTTTAATATATACTTTAAGAAAATATTTCTAATTAATTATTTGTTGATAGATTATATCTACAGTCAATCCTACAATTCCTGTTCTGTCAAATAAAAAATAACTTCGACATATAATGATACAAGTCATAAAAGACAATGAAAAACTTCTTCAAATTTGTTCGTAAATAAAAAAAAACTATTTGTGTTACACGAAATATAAGGCAAGATTTCTTAATTTCTAATTTTCTTAAAATATTACAGATCGAGCTAAAACATTAATCATTCTATTCAACTATTATTTAAATTATCACCATTATAAAATAAGTCCTATAAAAATGCCCGACAAGTTTCATAATCATATTCTTATGTCATGAAAATCATGTTTAAACATCGATTTTAGTAATCATTTATGAACTACAAACTAATTATTTAAGAATTTATAAATTGAAAAGTGAAATATAATTACAGATATTTAAAACAAAAAAAAGATTAGTTTTATCATGAACGATATTGGATAATTCCAAAAATGATCGTACTATAAGTCTCGTCATCACAATCGTTCGTTTTAAAACGATTTTTTGCGACAAGGCGTAGTTTATTTTAGATGGTTCTAAATTAATCTAAAACTCTACTTCTCACTTATGTTTCTTTCATTCTTTTTTCAAGATTTTTAATTAATGAGCGATGATAAATAACCATAGAAGTCTTTCAGAAATAAACAAATACAAATCATCGATTTTAGAGAATTTTTTAATCTTTTTTTCGTATTTATTTATCCTCACAGTATCAAATTGTATGTAGAGTTCTTATTTATCGATTTAGTTACATAATTTCTATGTATAAATTAATGTGAACTTACATATTATAATAAAAACATAGATCCACTAATTAAATTAGTAATAAGATCTTCTAAATTTAACAGTAAAATAAAAGTTCACGTGTAAATAATCTCATAGTTTATCGTTAAAAATGAAGAAGAAAATCATTGACGATTAATTACTGATTTTGAGTACATGGAATAGCTTTCTTACAAATAATGTCAACTGTAATCAACGAAGAAATTTCCTATTACACAAACAAGATTAAAGATTCAGACTAAAAATCTGGTAAAAAGATTCAGCATTAGATGTGTTGTGTACGAATCAATATAGTTTAGTCTCAAATTTTTAAACTGGATTCTTAAAAAAATATCTCATATGTTAGATAATTCAAGAGTAATAATTAGAAAAAATGAAACATATTTTCCTTTAGTATGATATTAACAATGAGATGAAAAGTTTTGCATAAAACAATTTAAGAATATTGTAATTCATCCATATGTAAATTTAGGTAGAGATGTCTAACTAGGAGTTGTTACATAAAAATGGTTTGTTTTTGTAAAATAATTATGCAATCTATTTAACTTTCGTACTAATGTTATTTTCTTTAATCTATCACAAAATTTCAAAGGAATTATTTTATGTTAAAAGATAATAATATAAACTGATTCTTTTGAATGAAAATCTTATCTAAAAACTATAGAGAAATATTCAACATCTGCTACACGTATATTTATTTTGTGCATTATTCATTTTCATGTTCTTCATTTCTTCGACAATAGCTAATTGTATCTCTCATACTTTTCTTCGTTGTTCAAATAACGATATTTGTAACGAAATGGTTTGTTTTTATACGTTCTCTGTTAGCCATAATTTTTCTGATCCTTGATAAATCTATTGAGAAATAACTATATAAAAAGAACTAATAACTATTTTCATATTTTCAGTATAGTTATCAATAGGAACTATGTTTAAATGGAAATATCAAAGAAGAACAATCGAAAAAACTTTTCGTCCGAGATTTAATATTTTTAGTTTGCTTTTCTTTTATTTGAAAACATTCTTCGAACTTATATCAAATATTCATCATTCTTATCATTGATTTATGCTTGTTATCTTTATTTTTATATCGAAATATTGAAAAATTCGTTAGAAAATAACAGTTTTCTTTTAATATGAATGTCAAATAGACGATAAAGACAATATATACTCATCCTCAAATGATTAACTATCAATATTATATCAGCAATTGTTTACTATTTCTTATAGAATAAATCAAACACTAAGAATCTTCCTATCGAGTTTGTGACATTAAAATCCATGATGATAGTGATAGATCAAATATTTCTATTGATATAATCAATCATTACATGAACATTATATCTTGAGGGTGTGGGTGTGGATCACATTATGAAATAAATACCATCCAGATCCACCGACATCCACTCATATCCACAATCACACTCACGTCTACGCCCACACCCACACCCAAAATCTCTCCTGATTTAGTTAACATTGTTGAAATGCAATATGTTATATTTATACATCAATTATAATAATTTCACATATTCTATTACAACACTATTCTTTCGTTTGTATATTTCACTGATTATCACTTATTTTCTAATTTACATATAACTAAATATAATTTTACTCTTTGGAACATACCAAACTTGTATATTTTCATCTATGATTTATTTTCTCAAAAAGTATTTCTATCAATTAACTATTCTTCACAATATTATTCTGATATTTTTTCTCTTTTCCTAATATCATTTCAAGGTAAGACGAAGAGAATGTTGATCTACGTCATATTCAACATATCTCAATTGTGATGTGTCGCTTATCATTGTTAATAATACATTGAGACAGAGAAAAGAAGAAAAAGTTCAAATATACAAATACACATATATGTACAATATATTGAATATCAAACTGATTGTGTGATAAAAACTATGTGAAGAATGAAAGAACATAACTCATATCATTCTCCACGTTTCGATTTTTCTTATCATTTGTAACACGTGTTATTCATTGTTTTTAAATTTATCTCTATTTATTAATAAATTATATCGTTATGAGAATATTCCACTATTTTTATTATTTGTATTTTTTACGATAAAAAAAGTCAAATAATAGATGTTGTATGTGTATCTTTAGATGAAACAATAAAATACATTGAACAAATACGTTGAGATACTAAATATCCATGTTCTTCTTTTCTTTTTTTCTCTTTCAAAGTTAAATGTATTGTATCGAAAAAGGTGATGCATATACATAATATATGCGTCTACTAAATGCATGACTGAGTTGTCCTATACATACATATAGATAGATAGATATGTTGTGTATTAGTTGTATGCATCTCATAGAATAAACAAACATATTTATTATATTTTATTTTCATTTTAGTTTTCAAGCAATGTGTTATGTTAACATAAATTTAACATAATATCCATGTAAAAAAAGCTGTGAAAATCATGATTTTTGTGAGAAATCCGATGAGAAATCGATTTAAATGGCACGATTTTCATCGCTTGGTAATCGATTAAGTTCAAATAATCAGTTAAAATCGATTAAAATCGATTAAGTTGTAATTAATCGATTAAAATCCAATGATATTTCGTTTTTCGTAAAAAAATAGTTGATTTTAATCGATGTTAACTGATTATTTGAACTTAATCGATTATCAACCTATGAACATCGCGCCATTTAAATCGATTTCTCATAAAAATCATGATTTTCACAACTTTTTTTAGATGGGTAATTATCACCTTCATATTCAACTTTATTTTCTCATGTGAATTTATAATATATTTATTTATATCGGTTACATTAGAATTTGTGTACTTTTACTATGACGTTTAATTAGAAAATATTATTAATGAATTATCAACTATGAAATTAACTATAACTATTAAGTTATTTTCTATGAAGAATCTTTGATTAAAATATTATTATGATAATTTAATTATTTTCGATTTTCATCAAATTTGTTTCAACAATGAAGTAATTGATAACGATTTAAAATTAAACTTCAGCATTATCTTTTAGACTTCTTCAACTAAATTTCATCTTATTTTTCTAGTCTAGTAATTCTTTCAATTATAATTTCACTAAAACAAATATTGTAATTTTTAGTTTTTCTTAAATTACTTTTTACAATTTCATATTTTAATACAAAGAAAAAAGAATTACTTCTTAATGAGAAGAATAGTAAATTATTAAGTGAATGAAAATAATCTTTCGAGTAACTATTTTAACAATATTTGATCATACTAAACATGGTCAACATCTTTTTAAATACTTACACAAATCTAAGATTTAATTTATTTTTCTTTTAGATTCATAATTATATTTTTCTAAAACTTCCAATACGGCACTTCTTCGACGTTTCCGCAAAATCATCTATGGAACTTATTTCAGGATGAGACAAATAGATTGACGAAGTTTGTAAGTATTTTAGAGATTGTGTTTAATATCATCGATAATCTCAAAAATCAAAACTTGAAATTGATTTATTTGATCTATTTCCTTAAATTTAGTCTTACAAGTGGTGTTTTATCAATATGTTTTGTTGCAACTTGTGCAAATCGAATATTGGCATTTCATCATTATGGCAATAAAATGAATTTATCATCCAATACATTTCTTTGGATCTGGATTATTTTTATTCCTGATCTTATTGTTTTATTTATTTTATATCTTTTATTACTTTATGTTGGATCGAAACATCCTCAATATAATCTATATAGTATTCTAGTCGGTTTAGTCTATGCTATATTTATTATTCTTGTTTCATCATCTAATATTATTATGTTGACAATAACAGGTATGAACTTATACTTTTATACTATTTATCTTCTTCAATTCTAATAAATTAATTTACTTAGAATATTTTGTAATAATGAGTTAAGAACACGTTTCAATCTTGATCATCATCCCATAATTATTTTCATAGATTTTTGTCAAATAGTTAAATAAATCCTATTTTTTGTTTTATTAATAATAGGTCGTAATATAGATTGGAGAATTGTGTTTGAAGTGGATTTTACAGCAACATATAGTTTATACATTCCACATTTATATTCATTTTTATCTCTTTTGCTTTCACATTTTCTTCTTGGATCTACAATTTGGTCAATTAACAATCATTTCAATCAAATCTATACCGAATTACATTATGTTCTTTTCAAAACTATAAAAATATTCATTTCTTCTGTTATTCTAATCTATTTAATAATTAATCTCTTTTATCATTTACCACAATCTTATCAAAATTCATCATCAAATATGGTTTTATCATATTTTCATGAATTACTTTCATATTATTGGAGAACAATTGTATTTATGTCATTTCATACAGGAGAATCGATCGTCAATAGTATTTCTCAAGCAATTCGTGCACCACCAATTAATATTTCTGATCCAATCGTTACTCTGAAAAAACCAATAAAAAATGTTTTTCTAATTATTTTGGAATCAACTCGTGCTGATGTTTTACCATTGAATGAACAATTTCTTAATGCTACACAATCTGCCTTTACTTCTGATATTCCTCTTACAAATGTTACACCAATATTAAATTCATTTTGGAAAAATTCTCTTCGTACAGTTGCATCATCAACATCATCTTATACATTAAAAAGTCTTGTTAGTATATTTTGTGGGATTTATCCACTTAATCTTAATTTTGTTAAAGAAGTTAATGAAGAAAATATATTTTATGAAAAATGTTTACCAGAATTACTTCATCACACATTTAAAACAAAAACTAATCAATCCAAATTTCGTTCAGCATTTTTTACATCAGCTCGTGGTGATTTTGATCATCAACGAGAATTAATTCAAAAATTTCAATTTCAATCTCAATATGATGGATTTGATATTATTGAACAATCAGGATATGTTCCTGATCTTGGTATGTTTGGTCCTGCTGATCCAAGTATTTTACCATTATTATGGAAATGGCTTGATGAAACTTTAGCAGAAGAAGAAAATCATCAATTAATGATGAGTTTATTAATTACTGGAACACATGAACCTTTTCTTTATCCCGAAGATCGATCATATAATGATTATCAATATTATACAAATGATCCACGTATAAATGCTCATCTAAATACATTAAAAATAACTGATGAATTATTTGGAAAACTTATTCATGGTTTTAAATCACGAAAATTATATGATGAAACACTTTTTATTGTTGTAAGTGATCATGGTTATGTTTTTAATGATTATGGAAGTCAAACTGTTGGTTTATTAAGTTCACCTTTAGAATCAGCATTTTCTGTTCCATTAATATTTCATAATCGATATCTTCAACCTAAACAACTTCATGGACAATATTCTACTATGGATATATTACCAACTATTATGGATATATTACCAACTATTATGGATATATTATTATTATCATCAAAGAAGAACAAGAAGAAGAAGAAGAAATTAACGAATCAATTATTATCATCTGTTGAAAATCAACAATTAAAAACAATCTTATCTTTATATGAAGGAACATCAATTCTTCGAAGACCGATTGAAGAAGAATATATTCGATATATATTTAATTTAGCTAATCCTGGTAATTCATTTCTAAGTATTAAACAATATCCAAGAAAATTAACTTATGATATTACAAATGATGAAGTACATTTATATCATCTTCAATATGATCCATTTGAATCCATTGATTTGATTAATCTTTCTAATCAACCAATAGACAATTATCCATCATGGATTCACATTATTCATCACAAACAAATATTAAAATATGGATGGAAAGGACGTTGGATTAGTAAAACTATTCGTATTAATATGTTTAGTCAAATATTATCGGAGAAAAAGAAAAATAATCATTGGTTAAAACCAAAATCAGTTATTTTAAATAATTCTAAAATTGATCTAGATGAAATGTTAAATTGGGCTGATCGAACATTTGAATTAACTCGGCTTTGGACTAAACTTATTTTCAAAAGATATCGTACGAATAATACAACATAGGTCATTCGTAAAACAATATCAAATCAATTGAATAATATTAAATGAAATTATTTTTCAATTTCAACTTCAATTATTATTATTACAATAACAAACAAACATTAGAAATTATTGTAAACTTATCACAATTTATATTGTCTGCATATTTACAATGATTAATATATCGTCAAAAATAAAATTATTAAGAAAAATAAAGTGATATCGACAAACTCATTATTATTATGTAATCGTAAATTATCATTTTCATCAATAAATAGATGTTTTAATGTGAAAAAGGAAAACATAGAACACTAATGTAACAATGACATTTTATTTATATGTTTTATGAGTGAAAAAATATATTTTTGAATTTGTTCAATCAAATATTAAATAAAACAATTTTGTGATATTTTGACTAAAAATTTTCAAAAATAATACTGTTGGATTTAATATTTATGATAAACAATCGTAAAATGTTAGCTTATATAATCAAATCTTATTATCAATCCATCGAGTGATAACAATACAAATTTATTTGATCATCAATGACTTATTTACAATATTCAAGAAATTAGTTGGCATATTGAGATAACTGTAGAATTCATAATTGATAAATACATGAATGATTCAGTTAAACATATTGCAGTTTCATTAGAATAGTTGTGAATGATCGTGTCAATAATTACTATATATTTTCCTTTAAACTGTAAGAATACAATCTAAGAACAAAAATTAATTTATATCCATATACTGTTTTTGTCAATAACATGCCATAAAATGAACAAATCGCTCGTGTACTGCTGATTATTTTAAAGTTGCATAAATAAATACTTTTAACCATTACGAAGGTTGATCAGTATTTTATGAAGATATTTATTTTACAATGGACTGGCTACTTATTTATGCGTCAAACTTGGTTTAAATATATCGTTACTAATAGTTGCAGATTATTTTCGATATTGTATAATTTTTATTAGTTAATATCGGATTATTTGAATAGCATAATATTTTATTTATTTATCTCAAAATGGTACTAACTTAAATATTTGAAAACTTTCTTAATTATATGCAGATCACTGTTTTATTGAATAAATACAAATAATGAAGTAACATCAATTTTACTTTTAATGTGGAGGAAGATAAAAATAATATTAAAAACAAAAAATGAAACGTTCGTATACACAGAATACTAGAAAGCTTTGAAAAAAGGTACCTGTATATTTATACAGCATGTTATTTATCATAATATTTTTAGTGTATGTACGAAAAGAAAGATAATATCTCCAAATATTTGGTACGACAACTCAAAACAAAAAAGCCCACAGTATTAAACGCTTCAATAAGTATGCATCGTAATTTTGATAATTTTAAGATTTTAGTAGTTGTATTATTGTAAAATATTTTCAATAAACTTCTCAGTTCAATTGTCTAATTATAGTGAATAGAAATACAAAAGTTCAAAATCAATTGTGATGTACAATGATAAAGAGATCAATACTATAAATTTATTTTTGAAATCCTACTTTTTATAAAATCGACTTGAAAAAAGCTAAAGTATTAACAAACTTCTAAAGAATGCTTGATTTTACGTAAAGTGGACGTTCAATTTGATTTTCTGATGAAAGTCGAAACTAATATTGATCAACTATCATTGATATCTAAATACAGTCATTTATGGATAGAGACTACGATAATCTGGAGAAAACTAAATCGAGTTTCAATGAACGTTACTTGTAAATATACATATGAAATTTATTATAGTATTGAATTAAATTGATAATTTTGATTTCTCATACCTCTTTAATTTATTTTAGTGTTTGTATACCTTTAATGAAACTCTAACTTAAAGCTTCATGATTGTGTAGAGATTAAGAGCAATCGACAATTCTTTGTTTTTTTTTCTTTGTAAAAGGTTTAGAATTAGATTTGAAAGACTTTTTACATATAGTATTTTTGTTTATTTCTAATTTACACTAATCGTTTAATTTACTGTTTCTGAGTCTATAATGATACTATATCACTCCTACACAACAGGTAAGAAGAAAATATTATTAATATTTACATTTATAAAAAAAATATCGAAAAATTTTGCTTTTAACAAAAGGTTGCCTACGTTTTTTGACAATATAAAATAAAACAGATACAATGGATGAAGGACGCGAAGCCACTGAAGCAAAGAGGATCAAATCATTCATCATAGTAATACATATAAGCGTATATAGACATCAAGTTTCATACTAGTGTATATTTGAAAAGAGAAAGACAAACATGAATGATAAAGAGCCACTATTAACGACATATAACAAATTACCTATTGACAATGATAGCGACAATGAAAACAAAAGGTATGATTTAAAAAATATATCATACTCATAAACACATAAGAACTCATCATTATTTATAGTGCTTCTGATTGGCGTCAATATTTCAGTCAACAAAAGACTGATGCTAAGAATAAAAACTTAGATGATGAGATCGAACAGACTACTAAAGATATTCACGTCAGTCTTCTTCAATTGGTAAGTATAATCAAACTTTAGATTTCATAGGATAAACTAATAAAAATACTAAGTCAAAATTATGTTGCTTTTCTCTTTCATAATATAAATTAATTCATTGCATTTAATCATAGTTTCGATTTGCTGATTGTATCGATCTTGTTCTTATAATTACTGGTCTGTGTTTCATGTTGGGAGATGTAGTTAGTAGTCTCGCAACTGTAATTCTTTTTGGTCGAATCACGGGATTATTTGCCACTACACAATTTGCTGTTGATTGTGATAATCAATATCAAAATTCAGTATCTACAATTATCAATAATACTGTATGTCCTTTTGGTATTGATCTTAATCCATTAAATTATGATCGATTACATAAGTAATTTACTAAAAAAAAATCTATTTTTAAATATTGTTAAAATTTTTCTTTGTAGACTATGCCATTATGATAATAAAACTATTTCAACCACATTAGCTCCATTAACACCTTTATTTCGAGAAAACGTTATGCATCTAGTTTATTTGTTCTTCGGTAAGTCTACTGAATATGATAATTTAAATAAAAAAAGCAAACGATTTCTTGTTTCTCCGTGTGGATGTAGGTTTCAGTATTCTTACATTTATATGTACTGTTCTCGAATATTTCTGTTGCACAATAGCTGCGAAACGACAAACATCTCGCATGAGTGTTTTACTCTTTCGATCACTTATTCAACGTGTAAGTGAATATATGTTTTAGTCATAAAATACTTTATAGTTCGTGATCATAAGTCAAAATTAAATAGTATCAAATTTCTACTAGATTTGACTTTACTTCAGTGCAGATCTGCATTGTAAATATTTTGTATTATATAGTCAAGCAAATGTTCTTATTTCTTCAAAGACGGTTATTCGTTGATGCGTTACTAAAATAAGTGATTATGAACGATTGAACTGGTTAAAATATAGTTTATTCTTTGTATTTCTCTTGCTCTAAGTCAAATATAACACAAAATTAACTAGATTATTTTGGTCTCGATTTCTAATTTTCTTTTCTCAAAATATTTTTCTAATCAACAAACTAATAATTCTAAAAACATTGTTAATATATCAATTAAATCATGAAAATAATCAATGCAAAATGTATAAGAGATGAGAATGATAATACGAATGAATATCAAAAATTATGTTGAACGTAAAGTTACCGTGAAAAAACTAAAGAACTTTCTTATTAATACAATATAAAAATAGTTTTAATTAATTAGTTACAAAATAACATTAAAGAAAATGATAATAATGAACTCATTATTTTCAATACATTCATACACTGGTTAAATTAGAATTAAAGATACAATAATATGTTATTTCCCTTTCATCTTTTTTAGAACATGACATATTTGGATACAAATCAAACTACTCAATACAATACAAAGCTTTTTACGTAACTAAATATTATAACTTTATAGCAAAATAATTCTATATGGTCGATTTCCTTTACAGTAATATTGAAAAGATCAAACACGGCATAGGTTTTGAATTCTTCATAACAATTGGAATTATTCTAATCATGATTCTCAGTATAATCATATCTTTTATTATCAATTGGCAATTATCTTTAATTATGTCTTGTATAATTCCACTTGTTGTTGGTAGTGCATTGATGTTTGCTAAGGTATAAATTATTATTTAATTCGCTAAAATTTTTATCAATAATTACAGGTCATCGCTAAACAAACAGAAGACCAATTAAGTTCATATTCAAAAGCTGGACAAATCGCTCAAGAAGTATTTAGTTCATTAAGAACTGTTCTTTCATTCAATGGAAGTAAATTGCAACAAAAACAGTAAATAAACAAAGATTTATAGTTTATTGTATTATTTATCTTTATCTAGATATGAAAAAGAACTAAAATTAAATGAATGGTATACTGTTCGCAAAGATGCAGCATTTGGTGCTTTCTTTGGTTGGTTATTTTTTGTAAACTTTCTAGTTTATTCAATTGGTTTCACTTTTGGTTCTATTCTTATGTCTGATGGAAATCATCATACACTCACTATTAGTGATATTCTTGTTGTAAGTCAGCTATAATACCGATATACATAAAAAAGTAACTGAAAAAAGAACTTTTGTTTAGGTTGTAAATATGTTTGCACAAGCTTTAGGTTTTCTTAATGCAATTGGTCCTTTCTTTCGATCAATTTCGGAAGCTCAAGGTGCAGCAATATCCGTATTTCGACTTATCGATGAGGTAAAATCGATTGAATACTAGAGACTTAATCTTGAGAATTATATTTTCTAATTTATTTTATGATATAGGCACATGATGAAAATATCAATGAAAGAGAAATATTGCAAGAGAACATATCTGATGAAAAATCGATTTCTAATATTAATGGTGATATTGAATTTGACAATGTTAGTTTTTCTTATCCATCAAGAGAAAATGCAACAGCTTTGAATAATCTTAAATTCATTGCTCGTGCTAATCAAACAACTGCTCTTGTGGGTTCAAGTGGTTGTGGTAAATCTTTTTTTCTAAAACAAAC